TTAGTTCGAACTAGGCTTCCTAGTTCGACCTACCGTTACTCCTCATTCCACGAGGAGTAACGGTAGTTCAAACTAGGAAGTCTAGTTCAAACTACCTAGTTCGTGCCACGTGTAGCTGCACAGCACGGGGTTCGAACCAGCCGGGATTTAAAAATGGCGGCACCCGGTTTATGCAAATGAAGCCCGGGAAATTCAAATCCCAGGCTTCATTTGCAAGTGCGGTATGCCTACATTACCCCGCTAGTTCGAACTAGCGGGGTAGTGTAGACATACCCCAACTGTGCCTACTAGCGCTGCAGTGGCCATGGAGAGGTGCTTCTCTCCTGGCTCCAAGTTGCTTTGATGAGAGAGGGCTGGAGTAGGCCAATGTTGGAAACTAGCAACAACTTTCAGCTTTGTCTAGTGCTTCTACAAATTGTAGACGGGAAAACTCAAGCCATAACCTATAAATACTTTGATGTTTCTTCTGGATTAACACAAAGTTGTTTATGCTACGTGTGATTAAAGAATGGTATAGTACTCTGTGATATAAATAGCTCTACAGTAATATTTTATCTCTACATTTTCAGAAGTTTATAAACCTGTGCTAATTGTGGAATGAACCTACTGAGTGAAATACTAAGACAATACTTGACAATATTTGCATCTTTTTTTTCTTATTAGTTTTGGGATTATTTTGGTATGATTTTGTTTCCTAAGAGAGAAATAAAGTGATCAGTTCACCCCTGAAATAGTCCATCTAAGGATAGTTTAAATGTCAAATGTTTTTTTCTATTGTTAGGCCAATTTATAACTATTTGTCTTTAGAACCAAGGTTTAGTTAGCACAGAAATGTCAAACTAAAGCTTTCATTCCTTAAGTGCTTTCCTTTATCTGCGAAAGACTGAAAAATGGCTTTTCAGCTGGCACCAGTGGCTTTGGGAAGTGCTACACAGCACATTTTTGTAAACTGCTTACACAGTAAATTGCTTGATCATTTTTCTTCACTTTAACAGACTAAGTTCAGAATGGCAGCAGCTAACCTTAAGGGAACCCAAGCTAATGAATGATTTTTCATGGAAAACTTTTCAACATTAAAGAGGAGTCTTGCTTATGGAGGGAACTTTAGAAGGTGAAGACCTCAAGTCCCATTGAAAGTCAATGGAATTTGTGCTCTTAAATCCATGAGATGTTTTTCAAAAATCTGCCCTATAGCCTCAAAGTCTTTCCTTAAGACACATCCAGTATCAACAAGCTATATACTTGGATGTTCCATGGGGAGAGAATTCTCAATCCCACTGGTGATGAAGAGGCCATAAAAGAAAGCATCTCATAGCCTCTGTACATGTTTGTGCAGTAGTTGCAGATCAGTTTCCCCACCCGTCTTGTAGAAGAGTTAGGGAGATATGCATGTTAAAATGAGTAACTGTGGAGTACTGCTCTGCTGCCCAATAAGAAGTGTAGATTTTCACAGGCACTTGTAGAACTTCAGAGACTTCTGTAGCCTACACATGTGAGAGAGGATTTAGCCTACTTATGTATATATGTGAAGTCGTTTTATTCCTTCTTTTTTATTCTCTGAGGGAACATCTATGCTGCACGGCTATTTCGAAATAAACTATTCTGGAATAGTTATTCCAAAATAGCTTATTTCAAAATAGCACATCTACACTGCAGGGATGCCTCAAAATCAGTCCGAGGTAGGCTTCCCTAATGTAGATGTGATATCTCATTTTAGAGCCCCAGGAGGCACTGGGGAGGAATAACTTAGAATGGCCCTGGTGAGGGTTTATTTCAAAACAGCATTGGAGCATTGACACATGCCTTATTTCAAAATAAGTATTCTGGAATAGACTTTATTCTTCATAGAATAAGCTGGCCATTACAGGTAATCCCCGGGTTACATGGATCCGACTTACATTGGATCTCTACTTAAAAACGGGGTGAGGCAACCCCGCACTAGCTGCTTCCCCCCAGCAGACCAGGGAGACGTGGAGTGGCTTTTCTCAGCAGACACCTCAGCTTGAGAATAAAGGACTGAGGGAAGTGAGGTGTGGGAGAATAAAACTGAGCTCTGGAGAAATGTTTGGCTAGAGTTTCCCCTACAATATGTACCAGTTCCGACTTACATACAAATTCAACTTAAGAACAAACCTACAGTCCCTATCTTGTACGTAACCCAGGGACTGCCTGTACTGGGCTGTGTAGACGCTCGCTTTGTTATTTCAAAATAATGCTAGTTATATCGAAATAACATTGCAGTGTAGATACACCCTCAGATACTTTGAAAAAGCTGATCTTTGTTTTGTTCTCTTTCTTTTGTTCTCTGTTTACACAGATATCACAGCATCATACCCTAATATCCTGGTGGAAAAGGCCCATTGTTCCATCTGCAAATGGTGGGGTTGGATAGATTTAATCTTAGACTATGAAGAACTAAAAGGTAGCACTGTCAAAAAAGTAAGTGGGACAGGTTTCCTTTGGAAAATTGTGTTTGGACAAAATCAAAATGTTTTACAGGAATGTATCAAATTTGACATAGTTTCAAACAAAAAAGTTGTAAAATTGTTCAAAATGAGAATAGAGTATTTTGTTTTGTTCTGTTTTTTTCATTTCTGGTTTTTATAATATGTATACTTATAATATTAAATTTATTATGTATATATTCAATACCATTCTGAAGAAAAATGGTTTGCTATGGATGCTTTGATGTTTCAAAATACAAAATTTCAGAATTTCCATTTGGCTAGATATTTAGAGATTTCTACTTTTATGTAAATCCAGGACAAAAAGCTAAATTTCAGAAGCCTGGAATATTTAACAATATGGAAATTCTGTATTCTGACTAACTCTAATTTCAAATACTCTGGTGCTACCACATGTATGGCAAGCTAGATTACTTAACTAGGCAATTATAATTTTTGGTTTGTTACAGTGGCTGTTTGTATTTATGCCCACTGCTTCTTACTTTAATTTTTGTTTTTCTGAGAACTGGATGTTATGTTACACATTAACTTCTGGAGACCATTTCTGTGATAAATTTCAATGCAGCTTAGCTTTTTCCACATGTTTATTGCTCCATATTCATGAAGTTGTGTTCATTTGCCAAGACTGAATAAGAGGGAAATCCCTTACTACTAGTGCCCTATTCTACCCTCTTGTAAGAAGGTACATCCCAGATCATGCTTTTGCAGGCATTACACCCTCAGCACCTTGGATTCAGAAATACACCACTTGCATCCAGAATCTTCCAACACTGTCCCCTTTATCTAGGGTTCTAACATGATTTAACCAGCTAAAATCTATGTCACCTCTTTTTTCTCCATAATTTTATCACTGAGTTTAGAGAGTTAAACAGGCTGTAGATTCTTCTGAAACAACACAGAGCTCTTGTCCTCAAGAGCTCAGTCCTGATAACATTTGATCAGGGCCAGATGTTTGATAGGCAATCAAATGCCTACATAGGCTCTTTCCTTTTAAATTACTTTTCCATTTGTTGCCTAGAGGCATGACAGAAATAGTTTAGGCACCACTGCCTTAAAGGGACTGTCAACCCCATGACAGCCCTGCACTGACTTTCGTTAGTCTGCATGCAATATGGGAGCTATTTATTTATGATTCTTATTTTGTGCCCATCATTGTAGTATCTGTGGGACAAGCATCTGAGGGAATGTCTACACTACAAAGTTAGTTCGAACTAACGGACGTTAGTTCGAACTAACTTAGTTCGAATTAGTTAATTCGAACTAAGCTAGTTCGAACTAACGCGTCTAGAACTAAAAACTAGTTCGAACTAGCGTTTTGCTAGTTCGAACTAGCAAAACGCTAGTTCGAACTAGTTTTTAGTTCTAGACGCGTTAGTTCGAACTAGCTTAGTTCGAATTAACTAATTCGAACTAAGTTAGTTCGAACTAACGGACGTTAGTTCGAACTAACTTAGTTCGAATTAGTTAATTCGAACTAAGCTAGTTCGAACTAACGCGTCTAGAACTAAAAACTAGTTCGAACTAGCGTTTTGCTAGTTCGAACTAGCAAAACGCTAGTTCGAACTAGTTTTTAGTTCTAGACGCGTTAGTTCGAACTAGCTTAGTTCGAATTAACTAATTCGAACTAAGTTAGTTCGAACTAACGGACGTTAGTTCGAACTAACTTAGTTCGAATTAGTTAATTCGAACTAAGCTAGTTCGAACTAACGCGTCTAGAACTAAAAACTAGTTCGAACTAGCGTTTTGCTAGTTCGAACTAGCAAAACGCTAGTTCGAACTAGTTTTTAGTTCTAGACGCGTTAGTTCGAACTAGCTTAGTTCGAATTAACTAATTCGAACTAAGTTAGTTCGAACTAACGGACGTTAGTTCGAACTAACTTAGTTCGAATTAGTTAATTCGAACTAAGCTAGTTCGAACTAACGCGTCTAGAACTAAAAACTAGTTCGAACTAGCGTTTTGCTAGTTCGAACTAGCAAAACGCTAGTTCGAACTAGTTTTTAGTTCTAGACGCGTTAGTTCGAACTAGCTTAGTTCGAATTAACTAATTCGAACTAAGTTAGTTCGAACTAACGGACGTTAGTTCGAACTAACTTTCTAGTGTAGACATACCCTGAGTGTCATATTTTCCCTCTTGAAAATAGTCTGACTTTGTGTGTGTGTATGTGTGTTAAGTGATTATAAAGGTGTGGGAGTGTTGGTACGGGCTTGTTTATGTTAGAAAATTGTACTACTTGAGATCTATTAATATAGACAAAGCTAAACAAGCCCTCTACTATGGACAGTCATAGAAACATAAAGATGCTTTATGCCAGAATAGCTATTTCAGTCTAGAAAGGGGACTAAGGGCGCATCTACACTGCACCATTTTTCTGGAATAACAGTCGTTATTCTGGGAAAAAAAATACTAGCATCCACACTGCAATTGTGTTATTTCGAAAGAAAATCAAAATAACGGAGGGCTTTTTCTGATGTTGGTAAACCTCATTCCACAAGGCATAATGCCTCTTCCAAAAAAGCTTTTTCAGAAGAGGGGATGTGTGGATGTGCCACCGCTGCTATGTCAAAATAACTTTTCACCAGGGCCATTCTAAGTTGTGCCTCCTCAGCGCCTCCTAGGGCTCTAAATCGAGATAGCACATCCACATTCGGGGAGCCTGCCTAGGAGTAATTTTGAGGCTTCCCTGTAGTGTAGACGGTCTATTTTGAAATAAGTTATTCAGGAAGATATCTGCCAGAATTGCTTTCTCCGAAATAAACTTGCAGTGTAGACGTACCCTAGAGGTGTGTCTAGACTACATGGCTCCGTCGACAGTGCCATGTAGGTGAGGCAGGATGACAAAGGGAAATGAAGCGACGATTTAAACAATCGCCGCTTTATTTAAATCAAAATGGCCGCTGCACTGTGCCAATTAGCTGTTTGTCAGCACAGCACGGCAGTCTAGACGGGAATCTGCCCTCCCCAGAACTCTTCGTCGGCAGAGCCTTTATGCTGAGGATTACAGGATCTGCCAATGAAGGGTTCTGGGGTCATCAGATCCCTGTCTAGACTGCCGTGCTGTGCTGACAAACAGCTAATTGGCACAGTGCAGCGGCCATTTTGATTTAAATAAAGCGGCGATTGTTTAAATCGTCGCTTCATTTCCCTTTTTCGAGTAAACTAATCTACATGGCTCTGTCGATGGAGCCATGTAGTTTAGACGTAGCCTAAGTGTAAGGCACTTTTGCAAAGATATAACTGTATCCACAATAGAAATTGTGCCAGGGCAACTATTTATGTAAAAATAGATAAATAAATGTATTCCTACCCAAAATAGTTACAAAAGTAGAAAGAAAGTATAGATGCTCAAGTATGGCCCTGGGCTCAATTCTCTTCCCCTCACCTCATCAATGTCTTCCAAATTACAATGAAAGTGGTAGCGTCACCATCATTAAATGTCTTCAAATGAAACTAGATGTCTTTCTTGGTCCAAAGCTCACTACTGTGTTCTACAAGAGGCCTGTGATATGTAGGGAAGTCATATTTAATGATTTGACAATCTCTTTTGGCCTCAGTATCTACAAATCTATGAAAAACTGAGTGTAGAACATTGAGCAGCTGCTGATATTGTTATGTGTATCCTGCATGTTCTCCAGAACTAACACTGATTAGTACAATAGGAGGAGCTCAAACAAACAAAGGGGATAGGCCAGGGCAGGATATTAGGCCTACAGGGCAGGGGGTGGGTGGGTCAGTGATGAAGTCTCAAGGGCCTTTTGCAGGATCTCAGCTTATTGGTCAAAGGAGGTCAGGGAGGCAGAGACCTCAGAGAAAGACCCTGACAACAGCCGGTCAGGAAGGGCAAAGGCAATCTCAGAGATGTCCATGATTATGCTGCAGAGAATTTCCCCAAGGTCTCTCGTTGAGGACTGAGAGAGTATTCAGGTTCACTTATGTGAGCACAAGGGGGAGCCTCTTTGGAGTTTATCCTTTCCCACCAATTTTATTATAAAGCAGATGTTCCTGTTGAGAAGGAGGCTGGGGTGCCAGGTACAAGGAAGAAGTCTGGGACATGTGTGGAGGCTCTGGGCATGGGGGCTCAGAGCAGAGGGCGTGGAGGCTTGGGAAGCTCAGGGCAGGGGGGTGGGAGTGTGGGGGACTCAGTTCAGGGGATGAGGGACTGCAGGGGTTAGGGCAGGGGGAATAAGGACAGGGGGCTTTGAGGTGGGGGAGACTCACTGGGGTCACAGCTACCCATGGAGGCAAAGGTAGCTGTCTGGGAGGTGGTAGGTCCCTGGTGCTGCCCACAGTGGTGAGGGTGGCAATGTCTGGACATCAGCATCTCTCCAGGGTGCCTGGGGCCACATGGTTCTCCTGGTGGCAGCTCCTGGAGGCTGCTTGAGATTGCATGCCTGGGCTGTGTGGCCAGCAGTACTTCCCCTGGGGCCACCCTTGGTGGCATGGACTGTGCTGCCCACTTAGCAGTGTCTCTCTGGGGCTGCCCATGGTGGTGGGGACCATGTTGGCCAGTTGGCAGATTCTCCCTGGGGCCAGCAGGGGTGATGGCAACTGTGTGCCCACCTGGGTTCCCTCTTTGCTGTATAGTGCCAGAGCTGAGGGCTCTGCAGGGAGTGGATTGGACTGCAACTGTGGCAGAGCCGTTTCTATGCATATGCAAAAGACACGGCTGCATAGGGCACCTGAATATTTGGGGCACAAATGTTTGGGTGTCTCTACACAGCCGTGTGCACTTGTATGCCCATGGCTGTGCAGGGCTTCTCCCTGCCCCCTCCCTGATGTGTTCCTATCAGCCAGAGGGATCCCTACTGCCAGACTTGGAGCAGTGTGGACCCCCAGCCTCTGCAGCACCAGGGAAGCCCTCAGGCCTGAGTAAGCTGCAGGGAGTGGCAGTGAGGGAAGCAATACGTGGGGGCTGGTGGGAAAGGAGTAAATCTCTTAGAAGGAGCACCATGGGGTGGGGTGGAGGGCAGGGGGAAAGCCCCAAGGCCCCAGCAGGAGGGAATCCTTGGAGGGAAAGGGAAGGAAGGCCCAGACCTCTGGGTGGATCTGCATGAGAGGAGAGGAAGAGAAGACCCAGGTCCCTGGCTAGAGCCATACAGAGCAGGAAGAGAAGGAAGCTCTAGGCCCCTGGCATAAGATGTGCAGGAAGGGGAGGGAGAGCAGCACCAGGCCCCTGGGAGGAGCTGAGGGTGGGACGAGAAGAGAGGGAAGCCCCATACCCCAGCAGAAGCTGCACAGAGTGGGAGAGAAGAAAGCCCCAGACCTTGGCAGGAGCTTCACAAACAGGGAGGGTGGGAAGCACCTGGACCCTGAAAGAAGCTGGGAGGGGCCTTAGTTGTGTAGGACCCATAATTTGTGAGGACAGCCCTGCACTGTAGATATGGGGGCCAGCACAGGAGTAGGGCATCCATGATCAACACCAGCATGGGAACCTTTTCCGTGGATTCTGAACAGCAACATTCCGAACCCCTCCTCCTGACAGACACTGTCTTACAAGGTGCGGCCCACCCACCATGGGCACACTCTGCAGTATAACTGTCCCTCCTTGCAGCCCCCTCCCTCTCCATATTATGGAAAACAATCCCTTTCCAGGCACTTCCCAGTTTTGTGGCACAACCAAACCCTGACATTGCTTTAAGTTAGGATAAGAGGAAACTGCTTTAAGTTAGGATAAGAGGAAACTGCTTTAAGTTAGGATAAGAGGAAACTGCTTTAAGTTAGGATAAGAGGAAACTGCTTTAAGTTAGGATAAGAGGAAACTGCTTTAAGTTAGGATAAGAGGAAACTGCTTTAAGTTAGGATAAGAGGAAATACCAAATATTGTGGTCCTAGCTCTTACTGTTTAGGAGTTCTTGAACAAACGGACTCATGGACAGATACACAGATGACATACAAACTCTCTCAAATATATAAGGGTATGTCTACACTACCACCCTAGTTTGAACTGGTTAATGTAGTCATACGGAGTTGCAAATGAAGCCCGGGATTTGAATTTCCCGGGCTTCATTTGCATAAAGCCAGGCGCCGCCATTTTTAAATGTCCGCTAGTGCGGACTCCGTGCCGTGCGGCTACACGCAGCATGGACTAGGTAGTTCCGACTAGGCTTCCTAGTCCGAACTACCATTACTCCTCGTGATAATTTGACCACCCCTGTGATAATGCCAACTAGACCACAGGGATCCATGTATCTCAAACGAAAGCAGAAGAGACCACCTATTGAAAAGAAAAGATATCTTAATCTCCAGATCAATTCAGTCCTTGTCCTCTCTCCTGAGGTTGGCTAGACGATACCAATTAGTTCCCCTTTCTTTTGTGGGAGGGGGAATACACTTGGAACAGATTTTTGAGCAGTGAAAAAATATGAAATGATAACTTTTGAAATCTAGAGACATGGAGTAGATATTAAACAGAAATCTAGGACTTAAAAATAAATGTGTCTTATTACTAATCCTCAGCACCATGCATTCCCTGCTAATCTTTAGAGACATTTTAAAACCACACTAAAGCACTGCAGAGAAAATAATACCCTTATGATCCTGAAAATACTCAATTTTCAATCTTATCTAGCAAATGAATTAAATATATAACATTATCACACAATGACACTTCCTTACACGTCTTAAAAATTAAGAATTTGTAAATTCTTTTGCTAGAATTGTGACACTAAGCAAATGTTTATAGAATATATAAAATACTATTTGATTACACAAACATCCAACACGAAAAAAAAGTCATTACATAGTCTTCAAACCATGCTGAAAGATGGGAAAAAAAGAATCATATCTAGATTGTGATGACATTTCTCAGGGCATGCTCAGCATTACTCAAGGCTGTTAATATTATGTATGGTTCATTTGACTGGCAAGAGTCCAGATAGCGAAACCAGAATTTGCAAACATTTTTGTTCTCAATGTAATGTGGAACCTGCACCACATTTTGACAGAGAAATGTGGCTGAACTAATGACCGAACTAATGACTGGCGTGAGTCCACTGATGTTAGGGGAGATAATTCAACAATGAATTTGGTCCACTTAGTAGAACAATATAAATCAGAATGATCAACTTGGAAAAATGTTCTTTCCTTTTATTTTAGGAAGTGGGAATTTATTTAATATATGAATGCATGTGAATTCCTTTTAGTCCCTAACACATAGAACCAACATGCCTTCTATTTATACCCAAAAAGAGCAATACAACTTTCCATGTTTCTCTTAAAAATAGAAAATCTCTCTGTTACTAAAAAACATGTTTTTTTGTAATGCTGAAATGTATAGGCATGACACAACTCTGAATTCTATACCCTTCTCTGCTTTAGCTGCTAGAATTATATCCGGCTCTCTTTCCTAATGCAACATATTAACCTTCACCAAGTACATTATACAGTAATTAAAAACAGGTCTAGATCCTTTATCAATCAAGATTTCAAAGACATTATAGTGGGCAGATGCTATTTCAAGCTGAGATGAAAGCCTCACATTATCATGATCACAATTTATGTACTATATATGGTTCTATAACCACAGTTAAAGTAAGGGAAGATTTAAAAATTGTGGCTTTGCTTGAAAAAGGAGAACTAGTTCCCTGCTTGCAATTAGTAGGTGAAAAGCCAGTAGAAGAATTTCACTGATACATGCCTCTTTGAAAAGGGATCTTACATGTGCACTTGATAGGCTGAAAGTGAACCAAAAAGTCTCCAGAGAAAATGAATGAATAGTGATTGGAACTGAAAAATGATCATTATACCTCAAGGGAATGAATCATTCCAAAATACAATTTCAGAGCAGAATGACCAATAGTCTACCACAGACAAGAATACAGATAAAAAAAAAAACCTGGGACTGTCTGAACTTTTTAATTTAAACCACAAATAAGAAGAAGATGAAGAGTGTCCTTGAACACTGGAAAGCAACATTTTAAAAACCTATAGTGAGCGCAAGTTATATGAAATTATTTGAAGTGCATACATTTCTGATGATTGTACTTATAAGTAATGCATCCAAATGCTAGCATTACAGCCAAAGCTAACCCAGCCATTATGTTCATTTAATTATCAAATCTTCTGATAATTTGATTTTAAATACAATCTTTATTTCCCTGCAGGTGCACGGGTGATTCTTTATGCTCTTAGACACTTGTTAAACAATACCTGTCAGGAAAAAAAAAATTACAAAATGGCGGCATAGGCTTATAAAACAATCATGAAAATTCACCACACTAGATGCAAAACTAGCTTCTTTATTTTTCCTATAGAAGTGATAATAACAATATTTTATTTATCTGTCAGATCCTTTAGTTTAGATGAGAGGGTGAGTAGAACTTTACAAACTTTTGGCACAGAATAGATATTGTTGAATGAATCTTTGTTGTACAAGTTATAAATGTTGTTCTGAAATCTTACTCTAATGACATCCAAGACAAAATTATTTTATATATTGTCACTTCATTTCTCTTCCAGTTGTATTTGTTTCATTTTCAAAATCCATTGCACCTATCATTACCATTCCATTGTTCTTTCATCTTTTCTTGCCCAATGAATAATTAGTTTTACAAAATGAAACAACTCCAGAGAAACAGTAAACACCTTACTCCACAATAAACTTTGGTTCAGTTGTTAACTTACTTACAATATGGGAGGCCAAGCCTCAAGTCTGTGTTTGATTCCTCATTAGCTGTGCTTACATTTTACCTTGGGAGTCTGTCATTCCAGAAGGGATATCTAATTGTTCAATAGGATTTATTTTAGAATAGATTTAAAAAAATATTGAAGCCAATGTTTAAAAAATGTACATAGTACACAGATGGGGGGGGGGAGAATTTTGGTATGTCTGGGTGTCATGCTTGGATTATCTATAAACAACAGTTTTGTTTAAGAGTTACACCGTACATATAATATGTAATCAGCAATATTAGGGGTGCAAGTTCAATCATACTGTTTGGATATTCACAAATATTTGGGAACATCTCTCATAGAAAGTTGTATAGAGAGTTGGAAGCTGAAAGCAAATATATCAATGAGTGGAGATTGTCCTTCTGTAAATCAGAATTTGGGGTAGGCTATCCACTGAAAAGTACAATCCACTAGGGAAGTATTTGAGTTACTTAAACTGTGTATTTGACCTTTTCCATCAGTGATTTTTCCCACTGGGGCCACAGTATACTTTGAAGTATTTACACACCACAAGAAATCTTCTTCCTCCCTATATGTCACTGTAATTCTCAATGAACATCAATGACTTTACACATATGCATGTTGCCCCACTTAAAGATATATGCTGATATTATTAATTCAAATAGGATAGTCTGTTTATGGGAACTTAGATACTGTAGTTTCAAGGTTTCTTTGATTTGCTATGTATTCCATTTCTGCTGGATAAACACACTACCAACTTGTTGTCACAAGGCATGGGAGAGCCTGAAACAAAGCCCTGGTCCCACAAGCTTCTCCAAAATGTTCAACTCTCAACACATAACAAATTTCAGTCACACAGTTTGGGCTTTGGCGAAGTAATATGGTGGTGGGGGGGATAGGGTAGAGTCAGGTGTCAAATGGAGAGTTAATTACACCAATTACAGGTTATTTAGGCACCTTATTAAATATTATTTGTCCAAAGTATACATTTCTAACCCCCTACAGCATTCTGAATTTAACATGACATTAAAATATTTAATGTGTTTACTGTTTTAAAACTGAGGAAGTTCAGACTTACTAAAATTATAGCCTCATGGTCTTTTTTCCTCCAGGTATTACCATGTTTTCCATGAACCTGTTACTCAACAGAGACCCAGAGGAGCCACCCCTCCAGAAACTATATGGCCAAACAAGGAAATGCTGAGTTAAATCCTGACTGGGGTCTTTCACCCCTACTGTGTATCTGACATTTCCATCAAGAAACCGGCTTGAGTGACAAGTGATTTAATGTTTTGTAATGATAGGCTAATTTCTCAAAAATTATACTGAGGGCAAGGGTTCTATGTAACAGGGCTGTGTGAATGAAAATGCCACAATGGTGATATCACATCCAGGTCACTAAGATTACCACCTACAGACCTCCCAAAGGTGGAGACTAAAGAATGAACTTCATAGATCTTGCTATGAGTTCATGTTACAGAATGCAACCATATGTTGGCACTCAGGCTGTGTAAGTGGAATCCCTGGAAATGTCAGAGAAAAAGACAGACAGGCGATCAGACAAATACCCATTTAAACATCCATTTTATGTTTTGAAAGAATAGCAAATAAATACCTTGCCTTCATAAAGCAAAATAGTTGTCTACTCTCTTATATTCTAGTGTGTGTAAGTTTTTACTTTGTTTCACTCAAACACATTTTGAGATAGGCGAGTGGAGACTCAAAAGGAAATTGTAATTCCCTTTAATTGCTTTAGCATTAGTATCAAGCTTGCTTGTTTACCTGAAAACCATAGAAGAAATATTGGTGGTTGCTGATGTAAAATTAAATGCTTGCATATTCCAATTGCTTAAGGGTAAAAATAATTACTCTGTTCTCACACACAAAAATATTTGACCCTGGGATTATATTTTAAAAATGGGATCAAATGTGCACCAGCTGACTGAATTTATAGAGGCCTGGTTTATCAGAAGAAAAAGTCTGACAAATAAAAAAGTCCTGGAAAAATCCCAGATTTTTACAATAGCTTCAGGTGAAAACAATAGCTGCTAGAGCAAGATAAAACAATAGAACCAAGGAACACAGCTGAGACTAGGAGTATTTCAGATCGTTTTCAAGTTCACTTGAACACTCCAGTGTGCAATTTCATAAACCAACCCTTTATGGGTTTTGCTTCCAACTAATGGTGCCACAGAAGCTTTCTTACAATGTTTCATTCACTCCATCATGCAGTCCTCCACTCACACCAAAAATAGCCAGAACCTGTTAATGACAGTTAACTAATGGAATGATGGTGGCAGCAGTATGGTGAATGCACTCAACCCAGAGGGGAAAAAATGCAATGTATAGAACAAGGTGCTGCATAAAGGCAAGACAGAGAAGAACAGTCCAGGGGAAGGAATTTGAGATTGCCTCCTAATGAAGATGTAGAAATGATTACCTAGTGCAGTGATTTTCAATCTTCTCAGGTTAGTGACTGCTTATTCTAACTCCCTCAGTCAATCTCCCACAAGTTCCTTACATTTACTCTAAAAGATGTAAAAAGGTATCAATGAAAAGTCTGTATTATTTATTTGTGTGTGTGTGTGTGTGTGTGTTGAGAGAGGTTAAGAGAAAATACTTGACATGTAAAGGCAAGACCGTGCAAGGGATGAGAGGAGCAATGTTTTCTTTGCTTTAAATTGTAATTAAATTCACAGTGCCTCAGAACCCCAAGTTGCTAGTTGCACTTTAGAATCACTGGCCTAGTAGAAGGAAATTGGATTAGGGTTTCAACAGACCTGGGCCTGGGTGTGTGAAAAAAACCATAAGGTCCTCCCCCACCCTCTTGAGCAATGTAATTTACAGCAACCTAACATGGTATGTACATGGTGATAAATGCACAGGAGACATTCTTCTGTCAAGCTAACTTCCACCTCTCATTGTGGTGGATGAACTGAGTCAACAGGAGAGCTCTCTCATATCGACTTCTTGTGTCTTCATTTGATGCCACGGCATTGATCACAGTGGTGATAATTTAATGCCAAATCCTGGGAGGGAGTAATAGAGATAATACTTCCCTACCTCACCAGATTGTGAATAGAGCTAGATGAGAAAAGGATTTGAGAGTCTGTAACAGGGTTTATTGGCCCTGCACTGGAGTGGAAGGGGTTAAGGCAGCACTCTTAGCAGCAGAAACCATGCCCCTCAACCCTACCGGGCATGCTCCAGCAGCTGCTCTAGTGTAAAAGGGAGCAGCCTAACTCAGTCTGGGTGGAGTGCCAAGGAGGAAGGATGCATGCACCTTCAAAACCTATCAATGATCACAAGGTACTTTGGCAATGATGGCCGTGTAAATACTTAGATACATCCTCACAACCGCTAACTTGTAAACAGGATAGTCTTGTAACTGTTCATTTTGCCCGGTTCAGGCTGCACAGCATAGCCAGAACAAACTATCCTCCAATAATGCCCCCTGATTGCCACTGCCCCCTACTGTGGCAGCTTTTAAGGAGCCAAGATAGAACTGCAATACTGGCTCAAAGATAGATGGTAAATCCCCATGTGAAGGAGAGTTTCTGCCTGTCTACTATCACTGAACCATGGAACAGAGACTGGACCTTTATCATTCATCATAATCAGCTCTAGCTCGCATTGAATCTCTGACCTTCAATGGGGATAAATTGCTCCCATCTCTGAATTCTGAAGATGCCTTTTCTTTCTTCCTCTATTTACAATGGAAAATAGCCACACACACACACACACACACACACACACACACACACACACAAAAGCCCAACAAAATAAAATACATTCCTCATTACAGGTGGGCAGTGATATGTCTGTGGTACACTAGTTAAAGATAATATAATGGAGAGCATGGTTTTACAGATGCAGTTGTGCTGTTACTCATCTGTGCCCCAGGCTTTTCACTCTTTGTCCTGATATTTGTGATTTACGTGTGCAATAATTACCTGTCAAATTGTATTTCCCTTGATCCATCAAGACTGTAAGTATAAATTCAGTTCATGAGTTCCATACCAAATATCCAGGGAGAGGTGGGATAAGAGGATGACAGGGCTAGGGTATTTTATTAGTTGTATGGAAGCATGTAAAAATGTTGACTTTGAACTCTTTTCTTCCTTTTCCACCTTGAGCATCAATTACAAGCTACTGATCTTATTTGGCTGTGTAGCAGAGATGGCTGGAATGTACTATGGTCAAGAGAGATCAACATGTCTGTGTTAAGCCTCTGCTGTACCAAAAATCAGTGTAATTGACAGCAGAAATACACATATTCTGGACTTTGGAGTCAATACACAGGATACCGCACAAATAGTAACAAGACTCTGATTTGCAAGGTTCAGAGAACTAAAGAGTGAAGCAATGATTACATCTGTATTGCTTTCAGAATTTATGTGCAGAGCATATTTCTTTCTTGAACACCCAAACAGAATTGAAATATTTGTGGTGTATGCTTCATTGAAGATCTATGGATGAAAATCCTGGTTTATGGAATAATGGGGATAAGCCAACACAATGCAAAAAATACTCCAAAAGCTCTAGACACCAACACATAAGTTGTTAAAAAGTGTTAAAAGTGGGATATTAATGCTGTACAGGTAGTTTTAAGTGTCCTTTAATCTGGGATGAATTTCATTTTATGGAATAAGACAAGTTTACAAAAGTGACTAGTCATTTTGCGCACCCAACTATTTGAATGCCCAATGTGACATTCAACAAGAGCCTGACTTGTAGAAAATGCTAAGCATCCGCCATATGAAAATAAGATTCATATTGGGCACTCAAAATTTAAGACACCCAAAAGTCACTAAGCATTTGTGAAAATATTTTGCTTGAGTATGCACATATTCTATATGTATTATCGGTTAGATCATTGCTTAGACATCTTAAAGGTAGTGATAGAAATGTAGCCGTGTTAGTCTGGTGTAGCTGAAACAAAAGACAGGACTATGTAGCACTTTAAAGACTAACAAGATGGTTTATTAGATGATGAGCTTTCATGTGATTTGTCCTTTTCATATGTGTTCATTTTTTTTAATTGTATCCTTTGGTATATATGGTTGTGACTATTTTCTTCCACTATTTGATCTGAGGAAGTGGGTCTGGCCCACGAAAGCTCATCATCTAATAAACCATCTTGTTAGTCTTTAAAGTGCTACATAGTCCTGTATTATGTTTCATCTTAAAGGTAGATTGACTTGAACCAATAAGACTTGAAACAGACAATGGACTTGAAACAGGCAATGACCCTGTTTTTTTCAAGGTTTTTACCTTGTTACGCATTATTTTGGTGGATTATATAGAGGTTTAAAATATACTGAGACAAGACAAAGTATCAACATCTGATTTGAAGTTATATTTGTTGCAATGACAATTTTACTGTAAAACAGAAAAAGCAATAAAAAAGAAATGACAAAAAGGAATTTAGTTTTACATACATTTGAATGAAAAGTGAAGTGAGGGTGGAGCTAAGAGCTAATTTTGAATTGGTTTTAAAACAACAGCTAATGGGAAATAGAAGACTTATTTTCTTTTCTCCTGTAGCAATAGGGAAATTTATACTTCTGATACTACCACTAAGTGTTTAGCTCTGTGTGCCTGTAATTTGTTCTTCACTGATTGACACAGAAAATTTATTCACCACTACAGCTGCAAGGCCTGGTTGGTGATGAAAAGCTATGAACCCTATAGAAGACATGTAATCTACTCCCAGTTAGACAGAGATTCAAATTGCTGTTGACTAACCCCTTTGAGGCTATTATTGATTATACTAGAAAAATGGTGGTAGATTCAAGATGTTATGATCCAGCTTATATTTAACCAAGCTGACCCTCCTCTATGAATGCCTCCTGTTTTCTATTAGGAACCTGTACAAGCAGAGATTTCTGTGAAATACACCCCACCCTCTTCACCTCCAGGATGAATGAGAAGCAGAACATCACAAAGAATGTTACGACTTTGCTTCCCAAATGATAAAACAGCATGTTGGAATCAGGGAGCAGCCAGAAAAGTCAGTTTTGCCATTGAGTTAATTGTCACCAGAATTTCAGATGAGGTCCTTTATAGATTTTCTAATTTACTATTGCAAGACAAACAAGGAAGAAGAAAATAATTGCATTGTGTACAATGTTTTTCAAAGCTGAAATGTACCCTGTGTAAAGTGCTAATGAAAAGCTCTAAATGCACCATTTAAGCCCCTCCCAATCCTTCAAACCTGGGCTTTTGCTGGCCTTCTGTAGAAGTGAGTTTCATTCAATGACATCTGAAAACTCACCTACTTGAGTTTCCTCACAAGTTTTAAAAAAGAGCACATAACTAGCAGTCAAGTATCAAAACCTCTTGGACTGACTCTGCGGCCAATTTCATGCACATCTATGATGATTTCATGCTCTGCAACAACACAGTGGAAGGATCATGGATTTAATACAAAGTCTGTCAGAGCTCTACAGATTTCGTCTAAGTTCAGCTTTGAGATTTT